CCAGACATGCATGTATATTTCAGTTTAAATATAAATAAAATAAAATAATGATTATTTTTCTCAATTGCATTAGCCATATTGTAAGTGCTCTATAATCTTATGTAACCAGTGGCTACCATATTGAATAGCACAGATTTGGAACATTTCCATTAGTATACAAAGTTGTATTGGGCAGTGCTGAAAAGAGCTAATTTTCCCTCAAACACATTTCCATTAATGCTACATTAAGTACATGAGATTCTAGAGTCAATAAATGAAAAAAAAAAGCTCAAGTTAGTCAGGTAATAAATACTGAGTTACACAAAGATGTATGCACGCATGAATGTATGTACAGGCAGACCTTGGAGATATTGTGGGTTTCGTTCCAGACTACTTCAATGAAGTGAATATTACAATAAAGACAGTTAAACAAAGTTTTTGGTTTGCCAGTGCATATAAAAGTTATTTTTAACTATACTGTTATTAAGTATAAGTATTAAGTGTGTCTTAAAATGCAATATCTTAATTATAAAATATTTTACTGCTAAAAAATGTGAATGATCATTCGAAACTTCAGTTAGTTGTAATATTTTTGCTAGCCAAGGTTCTTGCCTTGGAGTTAGTGACTGGTAAGACTGATCAGGGTATGGTTACTGAAGGTTGGGGTGGCTGTAGCAATTCCTTAAAACAAGACAACAATGAATTTTGCTGCCTCGATTGACTCTTCCTTTCACCAAAATATTTCTCTGTACTATGTGATGCTGTTTGATAGCCTTTTATCCACAGTAGAACATTTTTTCAAAATTGGAGTAAATCCTCTCAAACTCTGCCACTGTGTTATCAATTAAGTTTACAGAATATTCTAAATCCTTTGTGGTTATTTCAGCAATGTTTACAGCTTCTTCACTAGGAGTGGACTTCATCTCAACAAACCACTTTGCTCATCCGTAAGAAGCATCTCCTTTTTTGTGGAAGTTTTGTCATGAGATTGCAGCAATTCAGTCACATCTTCAGGCTCCACTTCTAATTCTAATCTCTTGCTATTTCTACCACATCTGTAGTTACCTAGTCTATTGAAGTTTTCAACTCTTCAAAGTCATCTATGCAGATTGGAATCAACTTCTTCCAAACTCCTGTTAATATTGATATTTTGCCCTCCTCTCATGAATCACAAATGTTCTTAATGGCATCTAGAATAGTGAATCTTTTCCAGAAGGATTTCAATGTAATATGCCCAAATCCATCAGAAGAACCACTATGTACAGCTGCTGTAACCTTACAAAATGTATTTCTGAAATAATAAGACTTGAAAATCAAAACTATTCCTTTATCCATGGGCTGCAGAATGGATATTGCATCAGTAGGCACATAAACATCATTCTCCTTGTGTATTTCCATCAGAGCTCTTGGGTGACTAGGTGCATCGTGAAGAAGCAGTAGTATGTTGAAAGAAATCATTCTGAGCAATAGGTCTCAGGAATAGGCTTAGGAAACCATGCTGTAAACAGATGTGCAGTCATCCAGGCTCTGCTGTTCCATTTGGAGAGCATAAGCAGAGTAGATTTACCATAATTATCAAGGGTTCTAGGATTTTCAGAATGGTAAATGAGCATTGGCTTCAACTTCTTAGCCCCTAACAAGAGACTTAGCCTGTCCTCTGAAACTTTGAAGCCAGGCACTGATTTCTCCTCTTTAGCTATGAAAGACCTAGATGACATCTGCTTCCAATAAAGTCTGTTTCATGTACATGGAAAATCTGTTGTTTAATAGTGTCACCACCTTCATCAATTATCTTACATCTTCTGGGTAACTTGCTGTAGCTTCTACATCAGTATTGGAGCTTCACCTTGCACTTTCATGTTACAGAGAAGGCTTGTTTCCTTAAACCTCACGAATCAACCTCTGCTACCTTCGAGCTTTTCTTCTGCAGCTTCCTCACCTCTCTGAGCCTTCATAAAAACAAAAAGAGCAGGAGCCTTGCTCTAGATTAGGGTTTTGTTTAAGGGAATGCTGTGGCTGGTTTGATCTTCTATTTGGATCACTAACACTTTCTCCATATCAGCAATAAGGCTGTTTCATTTTCTTATCATTGGTCTGTTTGCCGGAGTAACACTTCCAATTTCCTTCAAGAACTTTTGCTTTGTATTCACAACTTGGCTAACTGTTTGGCCCAAGAGGCTTAGCTTTGGGTCTATCTCGGCTTTCAACATGGCCTTCCTTGCTACACTTTTTGTTGTTGTTGTTGCTAATTTCTAGCTTTTGATTTAAACTGAGAGATGTGAGACTTTCTTTCACTTGAACACCTAGAGACCACTGTAGTGTTATGAGTGGTCTAATTTCAATGTTGTTGGGTCTCAGGGAATTGGGATTCCCAAGGTGAGAGAGAGAGACAGGGGACTTATCTTGGACTTCTGAGGGCATTTCACAAATTAATGTAAACTGTGATGCTCTAAGAGTGGAATACAAATATGCAACTTTTCTCAGATTTGTGTTACAATTTTTTTTTCAAGAAATAGCTCCAGGGAATTATAAACTTTAAGAAATACAGATAAGCATTAGCATCATTAAAAATCAAGTATGAGTATCATTGGGCACAGAAAGGTGTAACAGAATCAGTTTGCAGTTTCTCAACTTCCCCATGTAATTTACCTAATAATGTGCTGAAGAGAAGGTTTTATGCCAGTTCTACCTTCCTTGCCTCCCCTTTGACAATCATCTCTCTCCCACTTTACGAAAGAATGATATACTTCTCAGCCTACCAGAAACTTATCCTGGTGCACTGTCCCAATAAAGAGCTAGGATCGTAAAAGAACAATTATTGCAAAAATTCTTGCAATCAATGCAAATAATCCCAGAGAGGCACTGCAATAACATTTCACTTTCAACTTTAAATAAAATATTGATAAACAAGTATGTAGTTTCAATCAGTGATGCACTAGTATTAACAGCAATAATTCAATTCAAAGAAGATGTAAAAACTTACAGACTTTTGGTGGCAGGAAATTTTAAAATTTCAATTACATACTTTTTTTGGAGCAAAAAGTGATACGATTTTCTGATGTATTGAAAATAGGAATTCAAGGAGAAACTACAGTTTAAGAAAAAAAAATGCAATATATTAAGAAGGATCTTGTTTTTTTCTCTTATAAAATTAGCTTTGGTATTTAGATAACACCAGATACATTTTAAAAAATCACCGAAGAGTTTTGTTTTAAAATGTCAATATTTACAATGTGCTGCAAATTACCTTTTGCAAACATTTACCACTATGAAATACATTAGGGGCCAAATTAAAAACGTTGAGGGTGTGTATAGGTTTTGAAAATTACTTTTTTATTAATAAATTATGAAGTGTCCTACATCACCATTTTTTGGTGTTTTGAAATGTTACAACAATACAGTCAACAGCTAACATATTGAATGTTTCTGCGTGTGAGGCAGTCTTTTATCTGTATTATCTAATCTTAACAAAATCCTTTCAGACTATAACCATCACCACCTTTGCTTACAATGAGTAAACCAAGGCACAGACTAGTAAAGTAATTAAACTACAGTTACCTAGTACCAAAAAGTGAAGCTGGAATTTGGCTCCAACCAGGCTGGGCTTCGGCTCCAACCAGGCTGGGCTTCAGAGCTCACACTGCAACCCATGGCACAGTATTACCTACTTAAGTATGTTTTTCCTCCATAAATATTCAAATGTTGAAAGCTTATCTTTTCAGTTAGGTTTTCAAGTCATGGAAGGCAAGGCCATACCATAAAGTTCTCTATGCTCCATAACACCTAGGATTGAGTTTTGCACATAAAACATGCTTAATCAACATTTTCTGATTAGACATTTAACATTTTCAAGAATTTCTCTCCTCCATCTAATAATCATGAATGACCCTCTTAAAATATACACAATCTGGCTGGGCGTGGTGGCTCACACCTGTAATCCCAGGACTTTGGGAGGGGGGCAGATCACGAGGTCAGGAGTTCAAGACCAGCCTGGCCAACATGGCAAAACCCCGTCTCTACTAAAAATACAAAAATTAGCTGGGTATGTTGGCACTTGCCTGTAATCCCAGCTACTTGGGAGGCTGAGGCAGGAGAATTGCTTGAACTGGGACCCGGGAGGTGGAGGTTGCAGTGAGCTGAGATTGTGCCACTGCACTCCAGCCTGGGCTAGAGAGGGAGACTCCATCTCAAAAAACAAAAACGAAAACAAAAACAAAACAAACAAACAAAACAAAAGTCCCCCCAAATCCCACAATCTAAGTATAATAGTAAACTTTATCCCACTATTTATAAGGAACCTAAATCTATATAGTTGACTACCACCAGTGGAAATATTCACACAACAACTTTAGTAGTGGTTATCTCTATGTATGCTGATTAATGGTTAATTTTATTTCTTCTTGCAGAAAATAAATTGTTTCTTATTATTTGTATTTTCCTATTTAGGGGCATGTATTATTCTTGTAATAAAAAAAGAAAATAATATTTGTTATTCTGACAATATTTAGAATTCATGAATACATCAAACAAAAGGAAAAGAAAGGGATATAAACAAGCAAGAAAGAAGAACATCAACACAGGAAGGCTGCAGCACATGAGGCGAGTCAGAAGGTTTGGGCTGAACACTCGGGAGGGCCTGTTTCTCCTTACCTGGAATGAGGAAGCCACAGGGCCCTGGCAGCCCTAGGAGCAGGGCACATGTTCAGACAGGGCAAAAGCAAAACATTTGACTTGTTAGAGGCTATGACAGGAATTTCCAGAAATTGTGAACTCTACATTTTTGATACATTTTCAAGAAAACTAGGTCATTTCCAATGGACTACTTTTGAGAATTATTTGAAAAGCCTAATTCTTTACTTGGGCACCTCGGGTAACTGCTCTGTCTTGCCAAGCATGGGCTGAAGAAATAATCATTTATTGGGCTTTTCAACCATACCTTTGGAGTGACAATTGGTTGTCTTTTTTCTTTTTTACTTAATATAGCAATTCTTAAAAGAAATACAAATGATTAAAAACCATACCTTGACAGGTAAATTTTTTGGAGGGAGTTGTGAGTAAAAGTTTATCTGCCATTTCTCCAGGACCAGCACAACGAGCAATTCCAGGCTCCTTATATTCCGACTTCACCCAGTCGGATAACCACTGCATGTTACAATCACAGTAAAGAGGGTTGGCTCCAATTGCTCTGGAAAAACAACACCACAAAAGCACACACACACATACACACACATACACACACACACACACAAGTATGGAAGTATTGTTATTTCCTAAGGGCAAAGAATTCAAAGTGATGCTCAGCAGAAAATCCCCATAGATTTACTGAGGATAACAATTTAGCAAAAAATAGAGACTCTGGGGATTCCCCATTTTCCTGAACGATATGCACTGGGATTTAGTGAGTTGTCACTGGTGTTAACACTCATCTTGCTTTAGAAGATCTCCTAATATTTTCAGAGACCTGTTTATATTGAGTGTAAGCACACCCTGAGTGCATTAACATTTCATTCACCAATTATTTACTGATAACTTAAATCACAAGGCAAGATTCTGAGGACCCAAATATAAATAACGCATTTTTCTTACCTCCAGAGAACCCTGCTGCAGAGGAGATTAGCATTACATTAGGATATACTCATAGATGCAAAGAACTTTCATTAGAAGTGATGTAGGAAAAGTATTTACAAGATGATGGCGAACCAACAGATTAACTTTTCTGAGAGGCTAGTGGTTAAGAAAGTCTAAGCTGCGTAGGATAGCAAGAGTTAAGTAGAAAGAAAGGTTGGGAACAATGATGCAGACAAAAGACAGGTAAGTACAAAGAAAGAATATAAAATACTGAAGATGTCTAGAGCTAGCTCACCAGAGCTGAGCTGGACCTGCACTGGGTGGTGTCTGTCCCTTTTCAAGGTCGTTCATTTTATGCTTGTTCATTAGTAGTAGTGACAGGAAAGTAATTAAGGTAATAGCTAACATTTATTGCACGATTACTATATGCAGGAGCTGGGATAAGCCATTTATAAGAATTACTTCATTTTATCCTAAATAGTAACTTTATAAGGTCCATTTACTTAATAATTCACTTTACAGGTTAAGAAACTGAGACCTGGACTCTTAACCTTATAAAGCTTGGATTGAAGCAGTAGGTGCATACAATGGCATTTAAAAACGGCTTACTTCTGATTTACAATTAGCCTCTAACTAATAAGACCTCTAGGTCTACTGCCAGGAGAGTTATGCTATGTTTTTTAGGTAGCCCCCCAAATATATGTGTAGAGTCATAATACTTGATATTGTGGAAGTTTTAATGCCCCATTTAAGAATCAGAATGTAGTGAATGTTATGCGCATATGTATGTCAGATTCAAACCCTTCCAAACTGAAAATGAGCAAAATGTTTTTTAGTCATTTGATCTCATCTCTGCCAACATTTAAGTCCTTGCTATGACAGGGGAGGAAGCGGGAAAAGTGAAAAAGCAGCGCTCTTTATGATCTAGGGGGTAAAAGACAAGGCACAAATGAAATGCAAGGCAGAGCAGGGCACAGGACAAGAAAGACTCCACTTGCTCTCACTGTGGCGGGAGGAGGCTGGTAACACGAAGGGAAGTTCTGCTCAGCTCAAGCAGCACCTTTCCCATGAAGCCGCTTCTGATGTGTGACCATAACACTAGAAGAACGGCTGCCTCCTCATTCAGGCTGCATTCTCTGCCTGAGCTAGTAGCTTTCTTCATATTGCAGCTCATGCACGTGGCAGCCATGGAGTTTGTAAAGGAGTGGCTTAGAGGTAGGTTCTTGGCTCAAAGACGAGAATGGAAAGGCCCTGCCTTCCTGGACCTAGTAGTTTAGTGGAAGGAATATTAATAGGCACCAGTCTGATAGCCTGATGTACAAAACGTCAATTGATAGCACAGACTCTATAAGGCAAATGCAGACATAATGTGATTGACTACTGGATCTCCAATTCAATTCAAAGAAGATGTAAAAGCATAGACTTTTGGGCAGGAAGTTTTAAAATTCCCATCATATATATATTTTTGGAGTCAAAAATGATTATTCCTTTCTCAATTTCGTAAACTCGTATCTTCTTGGAGTTTGTGGATTTTCGAGAGAAGTGCAAAACCGGGAGAGGATATGGCAGGAAATCTCTTCTAGGGAACCAGGGCACAACTGACATTGATATTTAGGCTGAAGCAGATAGTTGCCACCAGGCATCCAACTCAACATCAGCCAAGGAGGCTTTGGATCCTAAGGCTGCTGACTGAACTTCCTTCTAGGTTTGCCATGATCTTAACATTACACCTAGTAATAATAAAATCACAGAATTTCACCCAAATGAGTTTTTTGGACTCCACTTATTACATATTTTCAAATGGTTGTATTGTACTTCCAAAAACTATGGAGATACAAACAAGTTGCAATCAGAGAAAACATAAAGGAAAAGCCATTTCACCCAATTTAAGCATTTGGTTGTGTCTTACTTCCAAACTATAGTCTTGAACCACGTTGCATTTATTTTTGCGTGGTGCCATAGTTGATGCTGAATAAATAAAGCCACTTTGAGCAAATCAGGATAGGCTTCACAGAGAAGGTGATATTTGGGATGTGACTTAGAAAAGCAGGGTTAGGATAGATAATTGAAAGGCAGCTGGTATTCTAGAATCAGAAAATAATGAGAGAAAAAGCATAGGCTAGTAAAGTTGGAGAGCCATTATTGTAGAAGAGACATGTTTAGCTAAGCAAAGATAATTTGACTAATGGAAAATAAGAGCCAGAAGGGAAAATTAAAGCCATCTTATAGAGGGCATCATATCCAGTTTGAAAATCTTCACGTTTTCTTTAAAGATGAAACCAGTTACATCTTATGATGTTACAATCAAAGAACTGGCAGAGGAATGTTCCAGGTCACTCATGAGGAAGGTTTGACCCTAAACCTATATCCATAAACCAGGTACTCACAGATGTGACAATGCAGAAAGATCATTGAAAGCACCTTCAGGCACAGCAGAAATGTCATTTCCATGTAGAGAACTAAAAGAAAGAAAAAGAAAAATTAAACTTCCTACATTTCTGAACTCATAGACTCCAGAAAAATTTCGAGACTTTAGTTTATAATAAGCATTTTAAATCAGTGCAGAAAAGATGGTCTATAAAATAAACCATTTCACTACAACTGGATACCTGAGAAAGCAAACAGCTTCCACCTCACATTATGTGTACACAATAAATTCCAGAATTAAGAATTAAATGTAAAAATAAAGATGTATTAAAAGAAAATATAGGCCGGGCGCAGTGGCTCAAGCCTGTAATCCCAGCACTTTGGGAGGCCGAGATGGGCGGATCACTAGGTCAGGAGATCGAGACCATCCTTGGTAACACGGTGAAACCCCGTCTCTACTAAAAATACAAAAAACTAGCCGGGCGAGGTGGCGGGCGCCTGTAGTCCCAGCTACTCGGGAGGCTGAGGCAGGAGAATGGCGTGAACCCGGGAGGCGGAGCTTGCAGTGAGCCGAGATCGGGCCACTGCACTCCAGCCTGGGAGACAGAGCGAGACTCCGTCTCAAAAAAAAAAAAAAAAAAAAGGAAATATAGAAGATCTCCCTTTTATAAACGTGGAGTGAGGAAGGCTTTCAAAGGCTCAATATAAAATCCAGAAACCATCAAGGAAAAGAGGGAGAAATTTTTGACAACATAAAATATATCCAAACAATAAAATATTCCATATAAGAAGCATAATAATATATATTTGCAACTTAGACAAGGGTTAATTCTTTTATTTAAAAAAAACTCCTGCAAGCATAGAGTCAAGTAGTAGATGCATAAAGGTATCTACATTAATAAGGAAAATATAAAGTACCTAACAGAAAATGGGGAAATGATATGATCAAGCTCACCAGAATAAAATGCACCAGTGCTCAGTAAGCAAATAAAATATACTCAAATGCTCTACTAATTGGAAGTGCAAATTAAGACAGGAATGCAGAATAACTTTCAATCTGTCATATGGACAAAAATAAAAGAATAAATAATACTCAATGTCTTTAAGAGTGTTTTGAAAAAGGTACTCTATTAAATAGTTGGTGGAAAAATAAACTTCTAAATGGACAGAGTCTTGTTTGGGGAATAACATGACAGTTACTTTTGGAATCCTTCCAATATACTTGACAGTACCTTCCCACACACCCTACATTTCTTGCTGAAATGTCAGCATATTTGCACCAAGATGAATGTATAGGATGTTCATTAGAGTACTGTATAGTACTCATGAAAATTTGAAATTAAACCAAATTACAGTAAAGATGAGGATGATTGAATCAGTTCTGGTTCCTCCCACCAATAGAATAGTCTGTATCAGTTAAACAGCTGAGTTACAGGCACATATGTATAAATATATATCTATTCTATTCTTATATATGTATTTTTATTCATATAGATGATAGACTAGAAATATTCAGAAGCATACGTTAAACAAAAATAGACAATGGTAGAACAAACACAGATCCTATTAATATTTGTGGCTTTTAAAAGTTATATAGCCAAGGGCATACATCTATGAGAACAGAAAAAAATGCATCTGAAAAAGGACCAGAGAGCACATCAAACTGTCCATTCAGAAGCAGAAGAGTAGGATCAAGGATCATGTTTTATTTCACATATTTTAAAGTACACTTTTATAGTAAAATGTTTTCATATACTATAATTTCTAAAGAATTTTGAAAGTTTCTCAAATTAATTTTGAAAGTTTCTTTCAAAGTTAATTGAAACTATATAAACCATATATCTTAATGTTACATATAATTAAATAAATGATTATAACAACAATCAGTATTACTAAAAATGAAGTTACATTGTCCAAAGCAAAGCTGTTAGACAATGATACAATACGACATGATTTTTCTATTTCCTCATTTATAATAAATCCTAATGCATGTATCTTCAAGCACCAAGAATCAACAAAGCAGTTACATCCTTAAAAAGACAATCCCAAACTCAGAACTCTGAGAAAAGAGATATTTTGTTGAACCTAAGATGCTTACAGTAATCGAAGAGACTTTAATCCATCGAAGGTGCGAGGAGGAATACATCTCAGACGGTTGTAACTTAGAATTCTGAAAGCATACAGATGTCAATTTGTTTTATTCGGAAATCCAAGAATGGTCAAATACTTTAAAAATAAAGCCGTTAAGAAAAGGCTTATTAAAGCAGCTTATTAACTGACAGTGTTAACACACAATATATTGTTATTTTTTGTGTGTTATCACCCTAACACAACATACTTATTTCCTAAATACAACCTAGAATGCTTCCCTCTGCCTACTCCTGCCCAACTTTGTTGCCTCAACCATCCCTTCCCTAAGGTGGATTTTCCCTATCTTAGGGATCTCCCCTAAGCCCCCCACAAACATAAATTACTCTTTGTTTTGTTTTTTTATAGAACTCAATACTTTTTCTAACATCTACATTTGTTCATGTATTGTGGTTTTGTCTATTTCTCCCAATAGAAACATTCCTTGAGCGTACAGACTGTCTTGTTCAATAGCAGTGTCCAGCATCTAGAGATTGCCCTTTGTCCAATGAATTAATGAATACTGAGTACCACACTTTCACACTCACAAGGTGAGGAGCTGCGTCATGTTGCTGAAGCTCTGATTAGAAAGCGTGCTTATTCTGTTGTTACTTAAATCTCTAAAAGAGAAAAAGAAATGGAGTACACTGTTAACCACAGGAATGAAAATATTAGCGATTCTTAGAAGGAGAAGGGTCTTCTTATTCATAGTCACAGCAGTATTGTTAGCATTCAGCTGTTATCTGAAAACAACGAAACAGTGAGTAACCCACTGTAGTAGACTGCAATGTTATTCATGATTACACCTCACCGTTTTGAAATTAGGAGTGATTTTATGTATATATATATATATGCATTGCTTTAGCCAATGTAGTGTGCATGCAAGGGGTTGGTTCACTTCAGAGCAGCAGCTTCAGAGTACACTTTATTGTCCCTTATCCCTCTGCCCCCATCTCCACAAGACTTTTGATATTTTACAGAGAGCTTCCTTGGAGGTGACTTGCGATAGACACATTTTGCAGGTGGGAAATAAACCCTTATCCTCAAAAGTCCTATCAGATACATATACTTTACTCTCATTGATACATATGTTCACTGACACACAGCCTCAAATTTGATCACTGAAAGAACCCCTGATTAATGACATTCAAAATGCCATCAATAAAAACGTCAGTGCTCCTGCTCCTGGCTGAGTCATGGTCACATAGTAGGTCCTCAGTAAATATTTGTTTAATGAATGTTAAGTAAATGGGAGAGATGGTGAATTTTTACCAATGTTAAATGGCTATTTATATGGATAGTTTGTACGATGGGTCGTAATTTACATTTCATGAACTTGATCTTATTCTCATTATATATATAGTGCATATATATACACATACACTATATATGTAAAAAATACATTAAAATATATGTAGATATATAATACTAATATATATTCACCATATATAACTACATGTATTCACTAATTTTTTTCTGAAGCAAAATGTAAAATATATGAATAAATGGAAGACTCAGAAAAGCTGAGGATAATCTATTCCTTTATTAAAATATCAAAATGTCAGTAAAATGGACCCATGAAATTGTGAAAATGTTAAGAATCTGAGAGGAGCTTTATACTCATATTTTTAGCTGCTGAAGAACTATTCCTAAATTTTAAAAATAAAAGTATCTGTATTAGCAGAAGTAACTTGCCTAGAGTTGTATAATGAGTCACTAGTAAAACCATTTTTGGATCCACAAATCCTCATTTGTCATTTTGAACTGGCTTGAAAGTAATCACATGCTGTCCCACAAATGAGCCAATTCTGCTAAAGCGACCCTTTGGAAATTGCAGCAATTTAATGGTTTATTTAACAGAACAAAATGTATGTAATCAGCTCTTGCTGCTATCAAATAAATAACTAGAAGCAGAACAAGACATCTTAGAGGATATCTTTTCCCGTTATTTAATCATTTGTCATTTAAATAGTCCTATTTACTTTCTATAGAGTGTTTGATTTACCCATACTTTCAAGGAATGTGATCAGCAGCAATTTTAACTAGCTTCAATGTACCTAGTTTACATTGGGGCATGTAACATCTTTTGCTACTTAGGTTTTTAGAATTCACTTAGAAATAAACCTCCTAATTCTAGGAATACTAGTAATCTGCTTCTTAAGCTAGTAATATTTACTCTAAAATCATATAGACTTAAACAAATGATATGGTACTTTCGAAATTAATATCTACTATCTTTTTCCTGATTTTTTGTGTTCTGAAAAGTTTTCTCAATTACCAATAAGGCTACTCTAAAACTATGGTATTATACGTAAAAGATTATATGAATTTTTAAGCATTGCGCATATAACCAGATCAAATGTTTGTATATTTAAATATCTTTTTGTATTCACAACTTCAGGGCGGTCAAAAGTGGTTTACGTTAATGAAAAAGAGATGCCATTTTAAGCTAAAAAATCAAAATTTTGAAATTTATACTCAAAATGTTAGTATCTTTGTCAAGTTTACCTAAATACTACATGAATATGTATGGATTTTATAAAATAAATTTTTATACTAGAAACCCATAACGTATTTAATAATGCTTTGTATAAGAAACAAATGTAATAAACTAAATTTACGTTTTTGGGAAAGTCATTACCACTTACCATCTTTTGCTTAAAGTCAAGAATAAAGGCATCGTTTTCTATCTTTCCTTCATTAGTTTGTCATAAAATAACCCATATTCACTATCAATAAAAGTATGCAGGTTTACACATTTTCATAATTCTCTGACTACTTAGACTTCGTTGTATTTGTGTTTTTTTGAATACAGGAGGACATCTTGCTATGACACTCCATCGCCTGATTGATAGTCAATGAAGATGTAGCCAGTGGTCCAGAACCGCAATGAGCAAGGAGGGAAGCAACTAACTGTGAATGATTTATATTATCTGAAAGGTTCATTAAATCTTCCGTCCCTTGCCATCCCCATTTTCTGGAAATAGAGTAAGTCAAAGAAAAGTGCAATATGTTACTCACATAAGTGTTAAATGTTTGTAGTTGGAGAGTTCCTTGGGAACCAGTGTAAATTGGTTTCCATCCAGATACCTAAAAACAAGGGAACAATATTATCTTCTTGCAAAGTTAATAGTGGCCTTGCATAAAATAAGTAAACAGTATTTCACTCTTAACTGAGGCAAGGAACCCCTTGGCAATTTTTGTGTTAAGATGTTGTGTTCCAAGCATAGATTATTATTTAAGAGAAGTAAAGGAAAAAAAAAAAAAAAAAGCAGAGTTGTCCATGAGTCCGGTTCTTTGTGGTTTATCTAACAAGGCAAGCCTTTGTGGTTTATCTAACAAGGCAAGCCAAGCATTTAGCCATCTGTGTGCAAGCAAGGAGGTTCATTCAATTAACCAAATTTTTAGTCAGCCTTCAGTTTGCTTGTGTTTATGTGGACACAATACCACGAAATTCATTAACTACTAACAAAACCTTGCTGCTGTGGCCAAGACCACTCATTGCTGCCTTAATATGTGTCAATACACTTAGTGAATAACAATGGACACATTAAAGGCATATTTGGGGATTTGAACATATTAGGTTTAAGTTTAAAAATAGTTTTAACCAACACATATCCGCTATGATGATAACATTAGGAGATTTTATGGAATATAAATTGATCAAATGTATAAATACATATATGTAACAGCAACAATCAAATAACCATATATAAGTAAACTTTCCCTTCTTATTAGAATCAGAAGAATAATCAGAAAATAGGCTTTGGGCTAACTGGCAGGACACAAAGATAATTGAATGCTTGAAGTTATATCTATGATGTCACAATAAGGAAAATAAATTTCATCTCCTTCCAAGGCTGTTTTTCCTAGAACATAGATGGTGAAGGGTACAAATGTCTTTCAGAAACTGGGGCCATCTGACTATAGATGTGCACACAAACACTTCTGGGACATTGAACATGTGGCCCTTCCTACCCCAATGTTGTGGTCCATTTCAAGATTCCAGGTTGACATTGGTATTTTTTCTGGATATAGAAGTAGCTGAAAAGTTGCCTAAGATAATAATTTATTCCTAATATTTCAAAATAAAAACAATGATATAAAAGGCACCAGTTATCAGAAAATATATTTAATGTTTGATAAATAATTGGGTCTATGTTATGACTCATCATGTCTACCTAAATTTTCTGACTTGGTATTTCTTCTTAGACCCCTCTCCATTTTTTTCTTTCCTCTACCTAAGTTTTTCTTGATACCACTAGAGGGAAGCATCACCCTATATAGTTCAGCACTCTCTCTTTATTCTGGAAAACAGAGGAAGGTCAAAAAGATTCAGAATGTGCACTATGAATGCTTATATGTAAAATAATCTAAGGGGGGAAGTTATATGGAACTGATTAAAAATAATGGATACCATTTGCTCAAACTAGTCCACCAATAATACTAATTTTTGCTAAAGTCTTTAATTATTTAATGTAATACACATATGAAATTCTTCTAATACATGCATATATGTTACTGCTGAGAAGGATTCTGCTGACTCGGTAAAGTTACAAGAATAAGCTCTCTAGGGGGTAATTCTCAGCAAACTATCGCAAGAACAGAAAACCAAACATCGCATGTTCTCACTCATAGGTAGGAACTGAACAATGAGATCACTTGGACTCGGGAAGGTGAACATCACACACCGGGGCCTATCATGGGGAGGGGGAGGGGGGAGGGATTGCACTGGGAATTATACCTGATGTAAATGACGAGTTGATGGGTGCTGACGAGTTGATGGGTGCAGCACACCAACATGGCACAAGTATACATATGTAACAAACCTGCACATTATGCACATGTACCCTAGAACTTAAAGTATAATAAAAATAATAATAATAATAAAAACTTGAATTCACAACAGATGAATTAATATTTTTCTCATCTCTATAACAAACTTTCTTTAGAAAAAAAGACTACCTTCTAATAATTTGTAGTAAAATAGATTGAAAATTCAACTTTTTGAATAGTTGAAGTAGCACGTACATAGCACAGGGCATAAACCAAGCAGGATGTTGAATGGAGCTTAGTAAGAAATGTTTAAAGATTTTTAATGGGAATAGAGTAGAGGGACCAATACATAGTACAGTTAAAACAGTAGAAGAAAGGATTTAGCATCAAAGGTGGTCTGAGTGTAAGTTCTTCACTGGTGTACTCCTAAAATTAATGCTTTGGACACAGAATATTCTTTTTAAAATTTTTTTTTATTTTTAATTATCCCTGCTTTATTTATTTATTTTTATTTTTATTTATTTTATTATATTTTAAGTTGTAGAGTAATGTGCACAATGTGCAGGTTTGCTGCATATGTATCCATGTGCATGTTGGTGTGCTGCACCCACTAACTTGTCATTTACATTAGATATTTCTCCTAATGCTATCCCTCCCCCATTCCTCTACCCCATGACAGAGACCCCGGTGTGTTCCCCGCCCTGTGGACACAGAAGATTCTATAGGCATCTAGCCTTCCCACAGAGCAGGGTTTCGGAAGATCCTTATGTGATCTTCTGAAATAAAAAACCATTAAGAATTAAATATTCAATTACACACATATACATAAAAAACAGTCCTTCCAGTTGATTAACCAATGTGATTGGTAGTGAGAGAGGACCTGAACACTTAACAGCCGTTCAAATCTAAGAGGCATGTTCTGTGCACACGCGCTAAGATTGTGCCTTTTTCCTCTAAGTGTTCCATTCAGGATCAAACTTAGGATTTAAGGAATTGCACGTGATTTGAAAATAAGATCCTTAAAAATTGAAATGACATGTTCTTGAACCTCATTACCTATGTTGCACACTGTCAAAAGTTTGTCAAACCTGCTCATTTGGAATACGTGTGTGCACCTGCACAAACAACTGATACACATCCGCATAAATTACATGTGGGTTTAAATCATTATTGATCCATGGTTCCATATACATAAAAAATAAACAGAGGCAAAGTGATTCAATTGTATTCAGATCAAGCATATCCAGAATATGACATTGGTTTAGAGACAAAGGAATGAAATGAATGGGGCATGGAAGCATCATTATTCTGGCAGCATATTCTCTAATGAATTCCATTCTGCAAGTGTAGCATGAGGCAGCCAAGGGAGTGTGGGCAGTGCAGAAGGTCGAGATGTGTATATATTGGCCATGTAATTTGTGGTTAAATATCAGTAATGAAAATGTCAAGGATAATTGGTCCCATACCCTTTAGGATCTAAAGGACTTTGATTCAAGCCACCAAAAGCAGCATCTCTTCTTAAGGGAAGAGATTATGCTAGTTTCTTCCATATACCAGATAATTATTTATCCCACGTGGTAAAACTTCCTCCTAGGGGTCACAGAGGTACAAAAAGAAGTTTCCCGTACAGAATATCCTAGACTGTAAATAAATTAAATACAAAGCATTTCCCAAAGTGCATTCCACGGGCCATTAGTCTTATAAGATGCTCCATGAGAAAAGGGGTATAGGAACAAATAAATGTGAAAGATACCTTATATTTTACCATTGTTTCTTGAAGAGTCATAGTACACCTTAGCATAGTAAAGGCACTGAGAAATCTTATAGCATAAACACATACACACACACACAATTCCCAAGGGCCTCTAAAGTAGCTTTTGCATTGTTTACTGTTTTACAAGATAATAATAAACTGGCCTTAGAATACGATTTGCAAAGAAGATTGTAAAGATTTCTGTTTGGTCTCCATTCCTCTGGGTGTGTGAAACATTTATCATCAAGGAAAAAGAAAAGAAAAGAAAAGAAAGACAAGCTCTACTTACAACTCTGTGACATCTCTTGGAATACCTTTCGGCAAGACCTTCAAACCCTTGTTGCTACATCGGACAACTGTATCCAAGCAGGTACATTCAGTAGGACAGCGAGAAAGTGGGGAGCAACTATTGTCATCATTTCCTAAATTGCAGAGGAAATACAGGAAAACCCAGATTTGTGGTCTTGAAAGTGCTAGAAGGGATTTTATGCCTTTAAATTAACAAACACAAGAGTCTTAAGCTGTATAATCATTTATATATGGGACATTCAGTATTTAAAAATTGATACCATAAGCTCTATATAGCACTGTTTTCAGACCACCTGGGGAAGAATTCTGGAAAGGGGTTTACAATTTGTAAACTGTAATTACAATTACCAATACAATTGAAATAGTTATTTGTACAAATTATATTTTTAATTAGAATACGTAAATGTAAAGTGAATTATAGAGAAACTGCAAGGAAATAGATATGAAGAGACATAAAAGAGAATATATTAACTTAAAAGTTTAGGTCCCTCATTTATAAAGCTCAAATTAGCTCTCTGTTCATTGGCAACAATAATAGAACCTGCTCTATGTACCTGATAGGGCTATATGAGAATCAAACATGATGATATAGAAAGAGCATTGAAAAGTGACAATTAGTATTTTTGCCAGGTTTATTAAACTTCTGTTTTATAAGATAATTTCTTTTCTCCTTTGAAAGTGTAGGTACTAAAAAACATGCCTAGGGTAATAAAGAAAAGTTAAAATGAAGCTATATAAATAAGACCAACCACAAATTGGAAACTAGAAAATCTAAAACATTCAGAAATGCACATCAAGTAGACTCAAATATGGAAGGTAAGTCTGAGAAAGTAAGTGTCCCGGTACTAAAACAAAACCCAAACAACAAAGCAAAAGATACACGAGCATTATTTGCCGAGCTGAACTATGTTGCAGATTTGTGCAAAGCTGTATCCGAACAGGCATGCGAATGCCTGACAACCAAAGAGTTGACAAGGATTTCTTACCGTCATCACAAGTGAAGTCCTGAATGGCCACATCCTGGATGGGTATTTCTTTTAGGAAGTACGGTTTTTGACATCGAGGATTTCCCGTGACAATTCTCTTCTTCCTGAGCCACTCTCCCAACCAAGCCAGGTAGCAGTTACAGTTAAAAGGATTGGCCAAGAGGTTTCTAAGAGCCACAGGCAAACAATGCATGGTTTAGTTTGGGGTTTCATCTTCTTAATTCTCAAAACCCCAGCTACCCTCCTCCACCCTTTTTTCACCGGTAACGATTCCTTCTTCTTTGTATTCCCAGACCCCCATTCATACTCAGAATCACATGCAGTATATGAGATGCATTTTTTTTTTGCTAAAATATTTATGCTTGGAACTTAAACAGTAACAACACTTTTTCATAAGGTAATTCTTCACATGATTTCATGCAAAAAATAAGGTAAGGCAGAATTTGGGGCTTACACAGTGGATCCTGATAGATATTTCATTTAGAAATAATTTAAACTTGTCAGAAATCTGACTTGCTGTCAAACTTCGCACTGATAATGCAGTAATTTAATATAAAGATGAAGGCTGATTACCTTATATTATTGAGTTTAACCTGACAACAGCTAATTCATTAATTTGTCATCTCAAGATTTCCATCTCTTATTTGCTCTAGAGAATAGGTTTCCCATCTAAACTGACAGCTGAGTTGATTAAATGCCAGTTATAAAAATGAATTTGCTTCTACAAATCTCAATACTTTTGGCATCTCAGCACTTCAGCATAAACCTATTGACAATCTCATTATTTATAAACATGCCATCTTTAATATGCGCAAATTAGTCACTTGATGTAAAATGTCACATTTTGTGCAAAAAGAGGATGAAGTACTTTACTGATGGATGGATGCTTCTCTCAAATTATTTCTTCACTGACTTGAGCTATGAACTTTTTTTCTCTATCTTTATTCCCCTCCTTATAAGTTAGATTAGTATATTTGCATGCCACCATTACTGGGAAATCTTATCAGTTATATAATTAATAATTTCAAATGCTGCTTTTTAGATACTGACATATGAGAGACCTGAAATACATTGTTTGGAGGTGTGTGGCTTTTTTTGCTTTTACATTTTATTTATTTATTTATTTTAAATTTCTTGAATTCCGTCTATAGGCCTACAAATACTCTTTATTTTTAAGCTGTCTACATAAAATAATCTCTTGGATCAGCTCAACCTATTTCTTCAATATTTTGCTAATATCATAGTAGACGCCCTCTAGTAAACAGCTTTTATTTTTGATCCGGTCATCCTAATATATCTCCTGTTATTTCGAATGATTCTGTTTTTTTTCTTTCCTTGAGATGGAGTCTAGCTCTGTCACACAGGCTGGAGCGCAGTGACAAGATCCTAGATCAATGCCACCTCTGCCTCCCCGGTTCAAGCAATTCTCCTGCCTCACCCTCCCAAGTAGCTGGGACTACAGGCGTGTGTCACCACGCCCAGCTAATTTTTTTGTATTTTTAGTAAAGACAGGGATTCGCTATGTTGGCCAGGCTGGTCTCGAACTCCTGACCTCAAGTAATCTGCCCGCCTTGGCCTCCCAAAGTGCTGGAATTGCAGACATGAGCCACCGTGCCTGGCTGATCCTTTCGAGCAAGTTTGTTGGCAATAACCGTATCCATTCTCCTTTTATGATACTTGAACTGAAAATACTCCAGTGTGAGAACACTGGCAAAAATTTGTAACATTTCTTTTATATGCAGCACTATCAAGTTATAATAATTCTAAAATTTAGAATTAAGCTACATCATTGATAACATCACTAGGAAAAATAATTCACTGAACAATACTATAATTTTTTGTTAAAATTTAATGTAAGATAGTAGGTAATATTTTTTAAAAAATTTAAATAAATTTGACATGAACAAGTTTGCACTTTTTTAAGTCCTAAACCCTTGATCACATTTTAATGAAATGCTTAATAATACATTAAATACATTAACAAATATAATAAATGGCTCAAGTAATACATAAAGGCTATTTTTCATACTTACAGAGTAGATAAAGAATGGAGAGTATCAAATGCCCCTGGTGCAACTGTAGTAATTTGATTATCATACAAAGAAAGCAAACGCACAGAACTGAGTCCTATGAAACTGTCATTCCCCACACAGGTTATTCGATTGCTTCTCAACATCCTGAGGGGAAAAAAGGGACATTGTTATGGAGACAAAGCGTCAGGCAATCAATTTTGCCTATCTGAGGATCAAAACGATCCTTGCAAATATGTAGCATTCATTACTACTTTTAAAAAATGTTCTCTTGCTATTAGATATTGCTATGAATATATACTGGGAATATCTTGCAAGAATAAAGTGCTTTGAGTTGTCAATGATTAATCTCAGTTACAAAAGGCACGGTGGGTCTAGGCATGGATTTACAATCCCACGATGAGGGCAGAATGTTTTCCTTTGATGCTACAATTATGTTTGCATGACTGCATAATGTCCTAATTCACCTACAGCTCTCTGAGTCCTTGGAGCCCTGTGATTTGTGTATTCAGGGTAGTATTACATTTGAGGTTGAACAGAAGGGAGGTGGAAAAGAATCAATAGCCATTGCAGATGAAGAACTGAGGGCATCTCAGGGACTTACATACTGAGTCAATGCCAAACATGGGCTGGGGGAGCCAAAATGGATAGAATATCTACAAAGACTACACGAATAATTTTATTTATGAAAATTAGCTCATTGTTTTAAGTTGAGAACTTAAAAAGAGGCAACAGTAACAGATCCCATATCCACAATAAAGTTTAAAAAGGTTTACCATGAAAAAATACTTTTTTTTAAAGTCACTGTATTAATAGGGTTAACACTATTGTCATTTCCTAGTTACTGCTAAAGTTTTGGCTTGATTATCAATTATTTGCTAATTATTTATTTGTCTGGCTTAAAAACTGAACAAAAAGCTCAAAGTCCCATGTGAAAATAGTTATGAGTATATGAATAGTTGCCATAAATCATATTCAGAATTCCTGAAAAATTAAATTATTCCTTAACTTTTCTAAACAAAAGTTGGCTACTAAAAAAATTGAAGAATGTAAATGGGAGAGGTAAAAATAAAGAAACAAAGTGTCACTTTAAAATTCTAGATTGTCCCATAATAAATAAGAAATGTAAACGTTTGCATTCTGCCAAGTCACAGATAAGAAGAAAAGATGATGCTGTCCTTATGAAGGCATCGTTTTATTTTAGAAAACAAATGCACAACAGAAAAGCATTCCTATCAGCACTTTCCTTTGCCATAAATGATGAAGAGCACTGGGTCTTAATCTTGCTGGAGTCACATGTCCCTGGGGGAAGTTGAAGAAAAGTTTGAGGGCCAGGTGCGGTGGCTCCTGCCTATAATCCCAGCACTTTGGGAGGCAGAGGTGGGTGGATCACAAGGTCAGGAGATTGAGGCCATCCTGGCTAACACAGTGAAACCTCCTTTCTACTAAAAATCCAAAACATTAGCCTGGTGTGGTGGCGGGCGCCTGTAGTCCCAGCTACTCGGGAGGCTGAGGTAGGAGAATGGTGTGAACCCAGGAGGCAGAGCTTGCGGTGAGCCAAGACCCTACCACAGCACTCAAGCCTGGGTGACAGAGTGAGCCTCCACCTCAATAAAATAAAATAAAATAGGCCGGGCGCGGTGGCTCAAGCCTGTAATCCCAGCACTTTGGGAGGCCGAGACGGGCGGATCACGAGGTCAGGAGATCGAGACCATCCTGGCTAACAC